CTTGCTACATCCCACCATACTTTGGCTGTGTTGTGTCCTTGAGTGGGCAGGTTGCCCTCCCTTGTCTCTGCAGTACCATGTGCTCACAGTCATCTGCCGTTGGTGCCGGGTGCCTGGTGCCTCCTGCGCCTCCTGTGGCTTGGTGTAACTTGTGCTTTAACTCTGGTACTTGCTGTTCTTCCTTATTAGTACCAGAACCAACTTCCCACCCAGTGCACATGGTCCTTTCCTAATTGTTTTGAGTTATGTTCATCTCATTATTTCAAGAAACAACAGCTTCTCTAGGAAAAAGTGGTGGGTTACACAGTGTTGCCCTCAGAGCAAGCTGTTCCTAATCACTTGCTAGTGGATACATTAAATGGAGGAAGAGCTATAGCTGTCAGTAGAAATGCCTTATAGAATTGAAAGCAGGGAAGTCACCCAGTTGAAAACGGAAAAAAAAGAACAAAACTTTTGATAGCTGGCAGCAGCTGGGGTCAACAACCTCAGTTCTAGAGGAACAGGCTTTCAAAGGAGCCATTAATGAGCAGTCTGCATTATCTCCTAAAACTAGGGCAAGCCGTGGCACTAAGATGATGACTCCAGAGGCCCTGGCAGAGGCATATGGCAAGAAGGAGTGGAAGCATTTTGTGTCTGACACTGGTGTGCCTTGCCATTCAGGTAGGACCCAAATGGGCAGCTGTACTACCTACACCCCTTTTCTTTTGGAACCTGAGTCTGCAATGTGAGAATATAGAGAAGACCCTCCTCTATGTCCTTTGCTGGGCACAACATATAAGGAACAACCTCGATTTCATAACAGTAGGATGGATTTCTTTTTCTAGATATGTCTGATTTCCTTTTGGCAGCTGGTTCAGAATGCTGTTAGCAGCATTTCACACTGTTTTAAAATTTAATTGATGCTTCTTTTACTTACACTTGTCTGGGTTGGAAAAGATAGATTAACACTTAGCAATAATACATTCCTTAGCCATACTGTATTTTCTATCAATTTTGTCGTGTGCTCAGTCCTTGGATTCCTTTCTCCAGCTCTCATGTCTCTCCATATTCACATTGCACACCACTTCTGTTTTCCGGAATTCTCTTCCTTACTTTCAATTCTAGTATCTTCTGCCTTTTTTTATTTTCCTGTGTATTTATTGGTGCTGGGGATAAATGCTAAGCAAGTACTCTATCACTAAATTATACTCTCAGCCCTATTTTACCACATTTTAAATGATTTTTTCACTTTTTTCTTTTCCAGTGTCTTTAACAAGCATCATTAAGACTAATTGTAAAATGATTTTTC